CCTCGTGGCTTTCCTATTAATCTCCGTTTGTTTCCGCTCTCAGCTGGATTTCATTTTCATACAGAATTCTGTGATCCTTGTATATTCTCCTTATGATGTATCATTTTCATTTTCAAAATTCCGTTTTTCTTTTTTTAATAGCATGGGTACAAAGTCTAAAGTACAGTTAGAATTGAATTTGAAATCTTGGCTACTGTTATATATATTCCCTTTAGAACTCCTTTTGTTATCACATGTAATTTTCAAAATAAACTCAAGGTTCAATCAATTCCGAGCTGTCTGTGGTTTAATCTTCAATTTTGCCCTAGCTCATAGTATTTTTTTTTTAATTTATAAATCAGCAAATAAAATAATTTCTTAGTAACCTTAATGGGGTGATTTTGTGGTTAAAAACTTGAAACTCCAAATTTGAGATTTCTAGTTCGAGTCTTGAATTGAATAAAAAAAAAGTTGAATAAAAGAGAGTTATTTTTTTTTGTATAATTTATAATTAGATATACCAAAAAGCATAGCACACTCAAATAGATTATAAACCCAGTCATAAAATGCAAACGTGAATCCGTTTACTTTTTCTTTTAGCCATAGGTATGTTCTAACTTGAATCTTTTCAAATGCATCTTCTTCTAAAGCCTCTTGATCTCTAAAAATGAGGTTGTTACATGCATTCCATAGAGACCATGTAATAACTATAAACAAATAGGACCACACTTTCCCATAAGCCTCCTGTATTGTGTTTGGTAACATGGTGTCATAACCTGATCTTTACTTTGTTAATTAAAATGACATTTCAAAAATATTTTGATCTCCTTAAAATATTAATTTTTCGTAAATTCTCAATATTTAAATAAAAAAAATCAAAATTATGAGCACTATTGACATTGTGAACTGGGAAATTAACTCAAAAGATTCAAATGAAAATTGAGATTAATTGAATCAAATCATTAATGTCATTTCTAGGGCTGGGCAAAATCGGTTTCGGTCTAAAATTGAAACCGATTTTGAATTAATAAAAAAAATTTGGTTTTAATTTT